CTGGAAACACAGGTCTCTACTCGTGCAGCCGGGAACGGTCCTAGACCAGGTAGGTGAGACTCAACGGGTGCAGCAGTGCGCTGGCGAAGTCGCGAGGGCCAGTGCGGTGCAATAGTGTGAGGACCAAAACGCTCACGGTGGAGGTCGTCGAGTCGACGGTAGCAGCTGGACGCGGAGTCATCAGGACTCCAGCAGGTAGTGCAAGCACCAGGGCCTGTCAGGGCCCGGTACCCGCAAGGGCCGACGTCTCGCCCACTGCTAGCTGAGCCACTGCTGGGGGCTCCACACTTTGGACCCGCAGGTCCCCACTGCCGGGAGTGCTGCGGCTGGCCCTGCTGCTGTAGAACTCGAGTACACGCCATGTGAGTAGCTAGAAACGGGGGTGGTTCTGGCAGGTGGGCCTAAACTGCTGCTAGAGGTAGGCTATCTTGCTGCTGGTTCCGCTGGGGGCAGCCTAAGCTGCTGCTGGTGCGCTGGGGGCAGCCTATGCTGCTGCTGGTGCGCTGGGGGCAGCCTATGCTGCTGCTGGTTCTGCTGGGGGCAGCCTATGTTTCTGTTAGTGCACTAGCGGTAGCCTAAGCTGCTGCTCGAGCGCTGGGGCAGCCTATGCTGCTTCTGGCTTTGCTGGGGGCAGCCTTAACTGCTGCTACTGGTGCTGCTGGTGGCGGGTTTCAGCTCTTGAGGCGGAGGATTCAGGTCGTGGGGGAGGGCAGCCCCGACTGGTACAGATGGGGCAGTGGGTGCGGTTCTGTGCGGTTCTGTGCAGTCCAGTGCGTTTCTGCATGGTTCTGTGCGGTGCTGTGCGGTTCTGCGGGGTGGAGAGTGCCGGGTGGGGCGGTTCATTCCGGGTGAGGTGACTGGAACGGGTGGGGCAGCAGCTCTGGCTGGAATGGGTGGGGCAGCGGGTGCGGTTCTGTGCGGTTCTGTGTAGTTCAGTGCAGTTTCGCGCGGTGGGGAGTGCCGGGCGGTGTAAGTTGCTGGTTTTGCTAGGGGGTAGTTTAAGTTGCTGCTGGTGCGCCGACGGCAGTGGAAGCTGCTGCTGGTGCGACTGGTGGCAGTCTAAGTTGCTGGTGGTTCTCCTGGCCGTAGTCTAGGCTGCTGGTGCTACTGGCGGCAGTGTAATCTGCTAGTGCTATTGGCGACGAGTGTGGCAGCTCGTGGGGAGGCGGGTGTCAGGTGGGGCGGCTGTTAAGGCAGCGAGCTACGGGTGGGGAAGGTAAGGCGGCGGTTCTGTGCGGTTCTGTACGGTTCTGTGCGGTTCTGTGCGGTTCTGCGCGATTCTGCACGTTTCTGTACGGTTCTGTGCGGTTCTGCACGGTTCTGTGCGGTTCTGTGCAATGGAGAGTACTGGGTTGGGCGGCTGATTCCGGGTGAGGAGATTGGAACGGGTGGGGCAGCAGGTTTCTAGGTGGGGCGGCAGTTTCAGGTCTGGGGCAGCGGTTTGCAGTTCCTGGGGCGGCCGATTTCTGGTGTGGCGGCGGTTTTTTGCTCGTGGGGCGGCAGATCGCGGGTGAGGCGACGGCTAACAGGGTGGGCGGCGGGTAAGGCAGCGGGTGGGGCCGCGTCTAACTGGTGGGGCGGCGGTTACGACGGTGGGAAACGGGTGTGGGGACGGGTCGCTGGTGCGCGCGGCTGCTGCTGTGCGTGCGTGCGACTAATGGCGGGGCCGCGGGGCCCGCTAGCGAAGGGGCCTCTGGGCCCACGAACTAAGGGCCGCGGGGCCCGCTAACGAAAGGCCGCGGGGCCCGCTAACGAAAGGCCGCAGGGCCCGTTAACTAACAGCCACGACGGGTGACGGGCGATGGGAAAAAAAAAAAAAGGAAAACGGCCGCGATCGACGGAGGGAAACGGGCGACGGGCGACGGGCGACTGGCGACGGGGGGGGGGGGGGGGGTCTACGGGCGACGGGGCCTAAGGTAAGCGCGATACGGGCGGTCTAGGACGGGGCGCGACTAGGTGGGCCCATGATAGTCGAGTGATTTTTCCTAAGGGGAAAATCTCGCTAGGGTTAACCTAGCTCTATACCATGTCACAATGTAAAAATTAACTAAAACAGAAAGTACAAACAAGATATATGCAAAAACTAACCCTAGTGCAAGTACAAAATAACACAAGGGAGAACACCTAGACTAGAACTACACAAGCTATAGAAATATAATTTGACAAGTGCTTGTTGCAGCTAGCTGCCACTAGCAAGCGTAGGCAACGCCTAGCGCCTTTCTTGGCAGCTCTGAGAACGCCAGCAGCAACATAGGTCGTCCTCAATGGAGCGCTACCAGCAGCTCCTCCTACTGTCGTGACACTCCTAGCTGCTACTCGTTGTTGCCAATACTGCCCCTGCTAGACTGCCACCCATGCCGCCCCTGCTAGTTAGCTGCACTTGCTGCCCCATCCTAGGCTACTATGTGGACGTTGCAGCAGCAGTAGTAGTGGCCGCAGCTACAGGTTCAGCAGCAGCGACCGCAGCAGCCACTACACTAGAATCTGTCAAAACATTTACTTCTAGTTATTTCTCTCTAGGTTGTGTAGGGGTCATTCCTTAGAGGGTACAACCCAATTCTCTCGATTGTCTTGTACCCCCTCCCCTTACCTAATCCACACTCCTTCCTAGTATTCTCAACTTGGTATCAGAGCTAGGACCTTCCTAGCCTAGGACGAAATTTTTCAAAGGGCCCACCGTTAAAACCTTCCTATTCCTGCCCAAATCGCACCCTAGGCGCGTTCTCTTATTTTTCTGCCCGAAATGCGCCCTTAGATGCGTCGATTTTCGCTGCCCCGCGGCCCTGCCCTGTCCTGTCGCGCGTAGCCCACGAGCAGCCCGTACAGCCCGCGTCAGGCCCGCGCACAGCCCGTATAGTCCGCGATAGGCCTTCGCACCGCCCGTACAGCCCGCGCCAAGCCCGCGCGCGGCCCGTACAGTCCGCACTAGGCCTTCGCGCAGCCCGTACAGCCCATGTCAGGCCCGCGCGCGGCCAGTACAGCCCATGCCAGGCCTGCACGCTGCACTGCACCTGTGCTGCTGCTCTACCCCTGCTGCTACTTGCTGCAGCTGCTCCTACTTGCTGGCGCTGCTGCTACTTGCTCCAGCTGCTCCTACTTGCTGCCGTTGCAGCTACTTGCTGCAGCTGCTCCTACTTGCTGCCGCTGCTGCTACTTGCTGCAGCTGCTCCTACTTGCTGCCGCTGCTGCTACTTGCTGCAGCTGCTCCTACTTGCTGCCGCTGCTGCTACTTGCTGCAGCTGCTCCAACTTGCTGCCGCTGCTGCTACTTGCTGCAGCTACTCCTACTTGCTGCCGCTGCTGCTACTTGCTGCAGCTGCTCCTACTTGCTGCAACTGCTCCCCTTTGCTGCTGCTAGGTGCTGCTGCTGCTCCACCACTGAGCACAAGCCGTGCCGCCCATTCATAACCGCGCCGCCCAGCCCGAAGTGTAACTACTGCTGCTACAGCTAGTGCTAACCTGCTGCTGCTGCTCGAGTTACTGCTACTGCTAATGCCACTACTACTGCCGCCATGGCTAGCCCTAGTGTTCTTACCTTCGATGCTGAGAGTTGAGCGGTCGATTTCGAGGTCTGGGTCGATGACCTTCAGCTCTTTCTGCAGTGCGACTCTAGGGACGGAGTTTCACTGTTCGATCACACGTCTGGCGTCGCTGTTGCACCTGCTACCGATGCTGACAGTGCTGTTTGCTCGCAGTGGACCACGCGCGATGCTGCTGCGCGCCTTGCTGTTCGTAGTCACCTGCCGTCTGCTGAGCACGCGCACTTTAGCCAGTACAAGACTGCTCAGACTCTGTACGACGCTGTTGTTGCGCGTTACTCCTCCCCTGCCACTGCTGCCCTTGCTGCAGCTGCTCCTACTTGCTGCAACTGCTCCCCCTTGCTGCTGCTAGGTGCTGCTGCTGCTCCACCACTGAGCACGAGCCGTGCCGCCCATTCATAACCGCGCCGCCCAGCCCGAAGTGTAACTACTGCTGCTACAGCTAGTGCTAACCTGCTGCTGCTGCTCGAGTTACTGCTACTGCTAATGCCACTACTACTGTCACCATGGCTAGCCCTAGTGTTCTTACCTTCGATGCTGAGAGTCGAGCGGTCGATTTCGAGGTCTGGGTCGATGACCTTCAGCTCTTTCTGCAGTGCGACTCTAGGGACGGAGTTTCACTGTTCGATCACACGTCTGGCGTCGCTGTTGCACCTGCTACCGATGCTGACAGTGCCGTTTGCTCGCAGTGGACCACGCGCGATGCTGCTGCGCGCCTTGCTGTTCGTAGTCACCTGCCGTCTGCTGAGCACGCGCACTTTAGCCAGTACAAGACTGCTCAGACTCTGTACGACGCTGTTGTTGCGCGTTACTCCTCCCCTGCCACTGCTGCCCTTAGCCGCCTCATGCTGCCGTACCTGTTCCCTGACTTAGCTGCTTTTGCCACAGTCGCTGACCTCATTACACAACTCCGCACTAGTGACACCCGTTACCGCGCTGCGCTTCCTGCCGAGTTCTGCGCTGCGAACCCCCCCCCCTATGTACATCACTCTCTACTACCTCGTCACCCGGCTCCCTGACTCCCTTCGCTCGGTCAGGGACCACTTCCTCTCCCTTTGCCCCACCACACTCACCGTTGACCTCCTCGAGGAGCGCCTCCTTAAAGCTGAGAATAGTATAGTCGCTGTAGGAGCCTCTCGTGGTGACCTGTCACGAGACTAGCTTAGCTGGTAACCGGGTTTAAGAAGGGCCTAGGCTTAGTAGCCTAGGCCAAGGGGGTGTCGAGAGTGTTGTGCCAAGAAGGATTGAGAATGTGTGGAGGTTCACTATAGCACACGAGTACATATAGCAACCTAACAAAGGTGAAAGAGGTGCACCACCATTCAAGGGCATTACACAACAGCTACACTACAAGCAGATTATACTAAATAGATATAAATCTATTTTGACACACCCCCTATCTGCCTGAAGTGCATAACCATGTGCAGAGCCCCCCTTGAAGGGGTACACCTGTAAAACCCCATTACAGGGCGTGGGAACACCAGCAAGGGGCCCCCTTTGAAGCTGACAAGCAGCAACCACCAAGCAGCATCTGAACCACCGCGGTGGAACAGGTGCCCGGCTGCGGTTGAACGCCCCGCAGCAGGTGCACGGTGTGCGAGGAGCACGGGTACGGGTAGCGGGTTCGGGTAGCAACTAGGTGCTGTACGGGACGGGCCGCACGGGGGTGACGGGCAGCACGAGACCGGGCAGCACAGACCGGGTGGGGCACGAGCGAGAACAGACAGCACGGGTGGGGCACAAACGGGTACAGACAGCACGGGTAGGGCACAAACGGGCAGAACGGGGCAGCACGGGCAGAACGGGGCAGGACACGGGCTGAACGGGGCAACACGGGCAGAGCGGGGCAGGACACGGGCTGAACGGGGCAGGACACGGGCTGAACGGGGCAACACGGGCAGAGCGGGGCAGGACACGGGCTGAACGGGGCAACACGGGCAGAACGGGGCAACACGGGCAGAGCAGGGCAGGACACGGGCTGAACGGGGCAACACGGGGACAACGGGGCAGCACAGGCAGAACTTGACAGGACAAGGGCTGAACGGAGCAACACGGCACGGAAACGGGCACGACACAGGCAGAACGGGGCAGCACGGGGGCAGCACGGGAACACGGGGGCAGCACGGGAACACGGGGACAGCACGGGAACACGGGGGCAGCACGGGAGCACGGGGGCAGCACAGGAGCACGGGGGCAGCACGGGAAGCACGGGACGCACAGGTGAAACGGGTGGGGCACAACCGGGTACGGACAGCAAGGGTGAAACGGGTGGGGCACAACCGGGTACGGACAGCACGGGTGAAACGGGTGGGGCACAACCGGGTACGGACAGCACGGGTGAAACGGGTGGGGCACAACCGGGTACGGACAGCACGGGTGAATTGGGTGGGGCACAACCGGGTACGGACAGCACGGGTGAAACGGGTGGGGCACAACCGGGTACGGACAGCACGGGTGAAACGGGTGGGGCAAGTACGGGGAACACGGGCGGAAGCACGGGTGGACAGCAAGGCACGGGCGGCAGGGGATGGGAGGAGGAGGCGGATGATGCTGCAGTTGAACTCTCACCACCCACACCCCCTGAACCTCCCTCCCACAGCAGTAGTAGTGGCAGCGAAAACGAGGAGGAGGTGTGGTGGCAGCGGATGGGGGTGCGGTTCCACTCCCACACACCTTCATCCTCCCCCCACAGTAGCAGATGCGAGACTGAGAGGGAGAGGAGGAGGAGGCGGTTGAGGCTGCAGAATCCCTCTTGGCACCCCCTTACCCTCCCCCCAACAGCCTACCACCTCCGCCTCCACACCCGCTGCCTCCCCACTGGCCGCCACCCCCACCACCTCGAGCTAGCACGGTAGCAGTCGCAAGCGCGGCTGGAGCTGGCGGGAGCGTGGGTGGGGGCGACCGGGGGGGGGGGGGGGGGGGGAGGAGGAGGGGACGGGCGGGCGGCGGCGCGAGCGGTAGGCTGCAGGAACGGGCAGCGCGCGGGCGACGGGTTGCAGCAGCAGATGACGCGCGATCGCCGGTGCGCTGGCGGTCGTCGCTGACGTTCCGCCGCCACTCCCTTCCCCTTTGCCCTCTTCCCCCCCACAACGATCCACCGCCACTCCCTTCCCCCTTTCCCTCTCCCCCCCACAGCGTTCCGCTGCCACTCCCTTCCCCTTTTTCCTCTCCCCCCCACAGCGACCGCCGCTGCACACGCGAACAGCCGCGACTGGGGGGGTGACGGGCATGGGGCGCGGGTAATGCGACGGGCAGAGTGGCAGCGGGCTACGGTGCTCCGGGGCAACGGGAAGCAGGGCGGGGTTCGAGTGGCGTACGGGCGACGGGTGGGGTGCGGGTGGCGTACAAGCGACGGGCAGGGTGCGGGTTGCGGCGAGCGGAACGGGGGGACGTAACGGGTGGCGCGACGCGACGGCGGGGCCCGCGCAGGTCCGGATCAACGAGAACGAGGGCCCGCGGGGGTCCTTAACTAGCGCAAGAACGGGGCCCGCGCGGGCCCTTAACTAGCGCGAGAACGGGGCCCGCGCGGGCCCTTAACTAGCGCAAGAACGGGGCCCGCGCGGGCCCTTAACTAGCGCGAGAACGGGGCCCGCGGGGGGTCCTTAGGCTAGCGCGAGAATGGGGCCCGCGGGGAGCCGCGTTACGATACGAATGGGGCGACGGAGCACGGGGCGACGGGCTAACGGAGCGCGGGGCAGTGGGCCCATGTGAGAATCGACTGGCTCTGATACCATGTCACGAGACTAGCTTAGCTGGTAACCGGGTTTAAGAAGGGCCTAGGCTTAGTAGCCTAGGCCAAGGGGGTGTCGAGAGTGTTGTGCCAAGAAGGATTGAGAATGTGTGGAGGTTCACTATAGCACACGAGTACATGTAGCAACCTAACAAAGGTGAAAGAGGTGCACCACCATTCAAGGGCATTACACAACAGCTACACTACAGGCAGATTATACTAAATAGATATAAATCTATTTTGACATGACCCTCGTGCCCCTTTCTTTGAGGGGTGCTCCCCCGTCCCTCTTTTGCCCTCTGTTGCCTCTGCTGCTGCTGTCGACCTCGTTGGCACCGAGTTGGTCGGCGCTGCGTCTGCTCCTAGTAAAAGGCACTACAGCGGCAGGAGCAAGGGTGGCAAGGGTGCTGGAGGGGATGGCGGGGGCGGCGGTGGTGGCGGTCGAGGCGGCGGAGGGGGTGGGGGTGGAGGTGGGGGTGGTGGCGGGAGTGGGGGCTTCAGTGGCGGTGGTGGAGGTGGAGGCGGCGGAGGCAGCGGCAGTGGGGGTGGAGGTGGCGGCGACGGCGGCGGCAATGGGGGTGGTGGCGGCGGTGGTGCTGGTCGGAGTGGCGCTTTGCAGCGGGGAGGCTTTGGCGGTGGCCAGCGCCAGCAGCAGCGCCCTCGTGAGACCCTGTCGCCCCAGCAGCTTCGTGAGTGGTACGCTGGGCGTGGGAGGTCTGGGGGTGCTGGTCCCTGCGCTTAAGTTCTCCGCACCGGCGACCGCAGTGGAGAGACGTGCGGCGGCCCGCACGCCACGCAGTGCTGTTTCGGCCGCCTGAGTGTCGCCTGGCATGCACAGTTTCCTGACGCCACTGAGCTCCCTCGCTGGGGTGATCTGCTTAGGTCGGGGGTTGCTATCTTTGATCTTGACTATGATGCTATCCTTGCTGCTATGTATGTTGTGACTATTAGTGCTGAGGGTGACTGTTACCTGTGTGTTCCACCCGACCGGGGCATTGAGGCTGCTGCTCTAGGTGCTAGTGAGTCTGCTGCTCCAGGTGCTAGTGAGTCTGCTCTCTCAGGTATCGCGTCGGCTCAGGTCTTGCACAATTCCACCCTTAACTCGGGTGCTTCCCGCTCCTTCTTTCGCGACTGCACCACACTCTCGCCGCTCAGTGGGCCGATAGCAGTCTCTATGGCACACCCCTCTGGGGGTCCGGTCCTTGCACACTCCTCCACGGATCTGCCGTGCCCGGCGGTCCCGTCTGGCTCTTTGTCTGGCCTCCACCTCCCCTCGTTCTCCACGAACTTGGTGAGTGGAGCTGACCTTCAGGACGCCTGGGTTGACCAGCTCACTCCTGGAGGTCAGCGGGTGACCCACTGTTCGTGTACTCGGACGGGCCGGCACCCGGCCACGTTCACCCGTCAGCCTGGGTCGGGCCTGTTGAGCCTGGTCAGGTAGCCGCGTCGGGTCAGGTGTTTGCTGCAGCGTCCCGTTCTGGTCCTGAGTCTGCCCCCTGCTCGTGTCGCCTCCTGTCTCACCAGACTCTCCTCTGGCACCACCGCCTTGGTCACCCCTCCCTGCCTCGTCTCCGAGGCATGGCCACTCGTGTCCTTGTTACTGGTCTTCCCCGGTCTCTCCCTCCCCTCCCCCCGGGGCCTGCCCCTACCTGCATTCCTTGCGTCGAGGGGCGGCAGCGCGCCGCTCCTCACTCCTCCGAGTTCCCTCCGATGGAGGCTCCCTTGCAGACTCTTCACATGGACGTGTGGGGCCCAGCCCGCGTCCGTGGATAGGGCCACGAGCGCTACTTTCTACTGGTCGTTGACGACTACTCACGTTACACCACAGTCTTCCCCTTGCGCCGCAAGGGTGAGGTCACTGAGGTGCTGATCGACTGGATCCGCGCTGCTCGTCGTCAGCTCGGTGAGAGTTTCAGCTCGAACCTTCCTGTTCTGCGTAAGCACTCCGACAGAGGTGGAGAGTTTTCCTCCGACCTTCTGCGAGCCTTCTGTCGTGCGGAGGGCATCCGCCAGACGTTCACGCTTCCCGCCTCTCCACAGAAAAATGGGATTGCTAAGCGCCGCATTGGCATGGTCATGGACGTCCCTCGTACGTCCATGATTCATGTGGCTGCTCCCCATTTTCTGTGGCCGTTCGCGGTTCAGTACGCTGCGCATCAGCTCAACTTCCAGCCCCGGGTCTCCATGGCGGAGACCACACCTACTCTACGGTGGACGGGGAAGGTTGGCGATGCGTCTGCGTTCCGTGTCTGGGGATCTCTAGCTTTCATCCGCGACTTGTCTGCAGACAAGCTGTCCTCCCGTGCTGTTCCCTGCGTCTTCCTTGGCTTCCCCCCTGACGCACCTGGTTGGCAGTTTTACCACCCCAGCTCGCGCCGTGTTCTGTCCTCTCAGGACGTCACGTTTGACGAGTCGGTTACTTACTACCGTCTCTTCCCCTACCGCACTGCCCCTCCCCCCCCCCCCCCGCCGCTCTTCCTTGCGCCCGGTCCTCCCCCGGTAGACCCCCTCCCCCCTCAGGGTCCTGCCCCCTCAGGTGTGTCCCAGGTAGACGCAGTCAAGCCTGCCGAGGTAGCTGTTGACTCTGGTGCTGCTAGGGGTGCTGAGCCTGCGGGTGCCGGGTCTGGGGGTGCTGAGCCGGAGCGTGCGGAGCCTGGGGGTGCTGAGTCTGGGGGTGCTGCGTCTGGGGGTGCTGAGTCTGGGGGTGCTGAGCCTGGGGGTGCTGGAGGTGCTGGAGCTGGCGCTACTGAGGCTACTGGAGCTTCTAGTGGTCCTTCTTGAGCTGGAGCTGCTGTGGGTGCTGGAGTTGGCGCTACTGGTGCTGCAGGTGGTGCTGCTGGCATTGGAGCTGACACTGGGGGTGCTGGTGCTGTCCCTGCTGGTTCTGGAGACGCTGCGCGGCCGAGGCCGTACTTCATTCCGCTCCTTCAGCAGGTTCTTGGTCTCCCGCCGTCTAGTGGTCCTGCTCCTTCCTTAGAGTGTCCACCGCCTGTCTAGTCGCAGTCACAGTTACAGCCCGCCTCCCCACTGCCTGCTCCTTCTCCTTACGCTGGTCCGACCAGAGGTCTTACGGAGCATCGTGAGCCTGAGTCTCGTCCTGCGTCGCCTGTTCGTGCTGCTCGCACTAGTCGTCGTGGTTCGCGTCAGCGTCCTCCTCCTGTCCCTGGCACGCACCAGATGGCTCTGCGTCCTTCCACTGCTCCACAGCGTGTTCCTCTGCCGTCTCCTCCTGCGTCCTCTCTTCCTGCCCTTGCTGACCCGGAGTCTGACTCCCTTCGTGCTGCTAGTCCTACTGTCACGCGTCTCCTGGCCACTATTGTCACTGACCCTTGCTTTGAGTCCACTGCTGCGTCTGCCTTAGTTGCTGAGCTTGTCGACTTTGCTGCTCACTGTCGTCTGGACTACGCCGCTAGTCTTGTTGCTGAGTCTGAGTCTGTTTGTCCTCCGTCCGTCGGGGGTGAGTGTGCTCTTAGCACGGACGTCCTTGAGGACAGGCAGGAGGAGTTCTAGTGTTTTGCTGCTGCTTTACCTCATCTCGTGTCCATGCTGCTTGCCCCTGAGGGAGACCCGGATGCACCAGACATCCCGACCCCGTGCTCTTACGCAGAGGCGATAGAGGGTCCCTACTCCTCTTAGTGGCAGACAGCCATGGACACAGAGATGGCTTCCTGGAAGTCCACAGGCACCTACGTCGACGAGGTTCCCCCACCTGGGGCGAACATTGTCGATGGCATGTGGATTTTCAGGATGAAGCGGCCGCCGGGTTCTCCGCATGTCTTCAAGGCGCGCTACGTGGCTCGAGGCTTCAGTCAGCGGCAGGGAGTTGACTACTTTCATACCTTCTCTCCCACCCCGAAGATGACCACTCTTCGGGTACTGCTGCACGTCGCTGCTCAGCGTGACTACGAGCTTCACTCTCTTGACTTCAGCACAGCCTTCCTACGGGGCAGCCTGCACGAAGAGATTTGGCTGCGCCACCCACCTGGCTTCACTGGGTCGTATCCTCCTGGTACCCTGTGGAGCCTCCGCCGGCCAGTCTACGGTCTCCACCAGGCGCCCCGTGAGTGGCACGACACACTGAGGACTACGCTTGCGACTCTTGGATTTGCTCCTTCCACTGCTGACCCGTCGCTGTTTCTCCGCACCGACACTACTCTGCCGCCGTTCTACATCCTCGTGTACATCGACGACTTGGTCTTTGCTACTGCTGACACTGCTGGACCGGCCCATGTGAAGTCGGAGCTGCAGAAGAGACACACGTGCACAGACCTGGGTGAGCTGCGTAGCTATCTTGGTTTGCAGATCACCCGGGACAGAGCACGGCGCACCATTACCTTGACTCAGTCACACATGGTGCAGCAGGTCCTTCAGCGCTTCAACTTCACGTACTCCTCGCCTCAGGCCACTCCTCTCTCTACTCGCCACTCGCTCTCAGCTCTGCCTTCGGATGAGTCCGTAGAGCCGAGTGGCCCGTACCCAGAGCTTGTTGGCTGCCTCATG